CCCAACCAACCCGCTTCGTGAACCTCGCGCGCCGTTTGAAGCCTCGCTTCCAAACGCTCTTCTGACCGACCCCTGGCTCGCAATCCAAACTTTGCCGTTGTGCTGCTCGCAAGGCTAAATGCCCTGGATTAGCCGAAGGATTTGAGCCATGGGGGCCCTTCTAAGGGAGCATAGGGCACCGGGATTCGGTGGAATTTGGAATCTGCCCACTTTGACGCTTAGAACAAAGCAAAAAAGGCCCGACTCAACAGGACGTATAGAACAACGCAAAACGCAAGTTTTAAAACTTCCTCCTCCGCCGGTCTTTGGGTCGGTCGCCCGCTTCTCCCACCCTCCGCCGGTCCTTGGGTCGGTCGCCCTGTTTTTGCAGGATCCGCGTTGGTTCTCGGGGTGCCGGTTGCCCCGGGGGGTCCTTGGGTCCCCCTCCCGTGGGCCTTTATGCAAGCACATGGGGACAGATTCTAAATTCATCTAGGTTTTTCTAGTTGGGGGGGCTGCCCTGCTTGGTCCCTTCCTGGGACCCTGCAGGGGCCCCACAAAACTGATACGGAGTTACAGGTAAACTTAACAAATTTGTATTTTTCTTTCCTCGCTCACTTGCCCGCAGCCGCCTCAAGGGTCAGGAATCCTATCAGAGTGCCCAGCCTAGGTATGCACAGTAGGACACTCTGAGGCTGTACAGTCTGTACATGAACGAAGCCATGCCGCCAAACACCCACACCACCCGAACCCCACATCACCCCAACCACCCACATGACCCGAACCACCAAGACCGCCCCAAGCCACCCGCCCCCTGAGCCACCCACGCTGACGAGCCGCCATCCGCACCGCCCGCCACCAGTGTGAAGGCCCCCCCCTCTCCCAAAAGGCTGCGAACTAGCCCTAAACCCTAAACCCTCATAGCGTCATCCCTGCAAAGGGCGCCCAAATCCTCCAACTACCCCAAGCTGCCCAAGCCGAAGCCACCCAAGAAACTCCCTAAGCCCTGAGGCACCCTAAAATGGCGGGGGGTGGGGTCGGCGGCACTGGCGGTAGCCATTAAATCGGGCAGCGCGAGGTCCCCAAAGGACCGAGCAAATGCGGACCTTTTAGCCCGGGTCGTCCCGGGAATAGCCTTGCTGGCCTCTGGCCTTCTGCGAAGCAGAATAAGGCCGGACGCCAGTGCCGCCGACCCCCGCGTGCCGCCGGTGAACGGTTTTTTTTTCGTGGGTTTTTGCGTCGCCACGGAAGCCCCCAGAGGGCGCGCATCATGAGCATCAGCGGGTCCAGCCCGGGACCCCCAGGCGCGCATCAGGAGCATCAGCGGCTCCCGGGGCGGGACCCCGGGGGCGCATCAGGAGCATGATGCCCCCCAAAGGGCGGGCATAAGCGATGTGTCTAAGCCCGGGGCTAGGAAAAGGGGAGTTTAGGGGCCTTATAAAGTGCTTAGAAACTTTAAGGGAGTCTAGGAGCCTCAAACGCTTAGAGATTTGAAGGGAGTTTAGGGGCCTGAAAATGCTTGGAAACTTTGAGGGGGTTGAGGAGCCTCAAACGCTTGGAGATTTTAAGGGAGTTTAGGGGCCTCAAAATGCTTAGAAACTGCTCGCTCCGCGCTTCTGCCTGCGCTGCCCGCCCATGGGCGCAGCCCCTTAAAATAACCCTACATCCCACAAAGCCCTAAACCCTGAACCTTAAATCCGATAAGCCCTAAGCCCCAGGGACCCGGCTGGATCCATGAGACTGCCCAGTTCGCATGGAAAACGTTCAGGAGCCTGGAGCCAAGGCGGGCGATCGGAGGCTGCCAGGCAGAGATGAAACTCTTACTTGCGGGAGAGGGGGCGAAGTTCCAGGCTGGGACAGCGCCTCTTGTTCTGGATGTTGTACTGCACCTTGGCTGCTTCGATGGATGACGAAGACCCGGCACCACGCACAGCAGTACCACAAGGAGAGACTTTTTCGGGCTTCTTGGGGCCACCCGGCGGCGGCAAGGTTAAGGGGGCTCTCCGCTTGTTTCATTTACAAGCAGGCAGTTGAACCTTTAAGTGCTTGTCTTCAACGCCTGCATGAAGCGGCCCAGTTGAGGTCCGCGCGTTGAAGAAGTACCAGAGCCCGGCGTACACAGGGAGCTTGATCTTTTCCCAAAGGCCTCCCTGTGGCAGGGCGAAGTGTAGGGTTCAGTCGGTTCAGTTTCGGGCGGGGGGGAGGAGCTGTGGAATGCACGGTTCATTAGAAGACCCACTTCTCTGCTAGAACCTCATGTTAACATGAAGCTCAGACTCGCCCAGGACCACCTTCAACGCTCACATCCTTTTCGCGTCGGCGCGGCGATCTTTGGCCCTCAGCGTAGTTTTCACGGCCACGTCCTACCATGGCCTGCCACCCTCAGGATCCACAGCCCTGAGCCACCCCGGTTCTAACCGGTATGCACAGAAGGCTAGCTACAGCTGCAGTTATGTACCTGTTTCGGGGGGGGGGGGGGTTCTCGCTACCATGCACCTTCAAGTTAAGTCACCCTATACCCTCACAGTGGCTCAGCGGAGGCTTGCGCTTTCACGGCGGCGCGATCCAGGCCGAGCTCCTGTTTGACGGCAATTCTGGGGGTTTTAGTGGCTGTGGGATTCGGGACGGCAGGGGGGGGGAGGCGTTCTTAGAGAATTCTTTTTGAGACAAAACTTTGAAGGTGACAGGGTTCAGGTGTGAAGCTCTGGCTTAGGCCCTGAAGGCGCGGGAGGCTCCTGTTTGTAGGCATCCCACATGGCATCCACGTAGGCCTCGCGCTCTTCGCTGAAATCGGCGTGCACCCAAGCCATGTCATTGGCCTGTGGCATTGCAGGTCTGGGCATTCTTCTTGCCATTGGTGCTGTTATTGTTCGCCACTGAGGTACTGTTCTTACTACTAGTAAGGTTGCAGTTCTGTCGAGATGCCAACCGTTTTGGGCAGAGAGCTTGGGGCTCTCAGGGCTTGAGTGAGATGGGCATTGTTGTCATGTCGTCCAAGCCTTTTTCAAATTCTTGCTTCAGGGCCCACACTCAACTCTGAGACAAGTGATTCCTGCATGAAGGCTTCGGAATGGCCCGTGCTCAGCCTACATTTGCTGATAACATACCCTTTTATCGCTCAAAACAGGACGACGTCTGCCAGAATTATTGCATACTTCCCATTTTTGTGGGTACAAGGCCCCCGTGCCCTATCACGCCCTGCCTCAGCAAACAGCTGCTCCCGTGAGTTGGCCTTCATGGGCTTTGGTGCGCGTCGGCCCCTTCCTTCCAAGAAGGTCGCCATGCGGTATTTAGGGTTTATAAGTTTATCGGGTTGATACGGTTCATAGGGTTTGCAGGGTCAAGGTTTATTGGGTTTATCGGATTTATGGGGCTTTTAGGGATTATAGGTTTACAGGGTGGCAGGACCCGACTACTTGGTTAACACCAAAGTAGGTTTCACTTTTCCTGCCACCAGAGGGCCTGTCTCGTAGGATATGAGGCTCCAGGCTGCTGCGGCCCTTTCGCGATTTCTCTCTCCCCCATATGGCTCTTACAGGCTTTCAGGGCGTGGATCCGAGGAGCTCATGACTTCCTATCACGGCGAGAAGCCTTTGAAGAGCACCCTCGCGGCGCCGGCCGCCACCAGGGCCTTGCAGCAGTCCCAGCAGGGAGCGAGCCTGGCTTTTCCATGGGGCTTTCTTCCGTTTCGGGTCTAGGGTTTAGGGACTTGGAGCTTACCTAAGCCGCCACCGTTGAACCCCAACCCTAAAGACACCCGTTAGCATGATGCCCAGTTATCCGCCAAGTCCACCCTAGTACCCGAAGAACTTATGCCGCCTCAAGGAATGAGGCTGAGGCCCGGACGCGATGTAGAACCATGCGCCTCGAACTGGGATTCCCTCGCGGGCACAACCTTCGGGGTTCAGGGGTTCACATTCACGCGAAGATGCGGGGGGAAGGTTGCTTTTGGAAGTAGCTAGATGTAAAAAATGAATGACATGCGGTTTCAAGAGTATGACCGAGATTAACCGTAATAGATCGCTTGCTGAGGGGTCAACAATTAGTGCGCCTCATTGGCAAGGTTGGGGGTTTAGGATGTGTGGAGTTCGTCACCTGATTGGTGTTCAGCTGCATTCTTCGATTTGCTTGGGGCCTTGCCTTGCCAAAGGTGAAGTGTTGAACTCAATTACACCCCCCCCCCCCCCCCCCCCCCCCCCCCCCCCCCCCCCCAAAGTCGAAGTCCCGACCCGACTGACCCATGGCCCATGACCCAGTAGCTGCGGTGATCTTCCGGATGGTGCGCGGCATGTCGATCGTTGCTTGCTCACACGCATTTTGCACAGAAGGGGTTCTGTGGCTTCTTAGAGGAAAGGCTTGCTCCCGCTACTGATTTCAATGCCTCCCCGAACACCTGGCACTGGTCACCTTGAATCTTGAGAACCCGACACCACAAAAACCCAAATCATTCTTGCAGTATAGCCGCGGCCGATGATCTGCATTTCCTTCGGCTGAAGGGTTCTCATCATGTCTGAAACAATGTTTGTGCTCTTTGGCTGCAGCCATGCATTAATCTGTGGTGACCTCTTGGAAGGTGATATATAGCTAAATGAATGGCTCTGCGCTTTGGGTGAGGTTGTTCTTGGTCGAGGGCTGAGGTGAAAGAGAAAGGTCGGCAGGCTCTGAGGCATGGAAGATGATTCCGGTTTCCACAGCAAACCAAGCGCAGCATCTGTGTAAACGCTTTTGAAACTATATGTATTAATTGGAACGCACACCTGCAGTTGCAAAGTCTGATTCTCACCCAGGCACTGAATGGATCTCGTTGTTGGCGGCACCCTGGAAAAAGTGGCGCACGCCTGGCACCTTGTTTGGCAAGATGTCGGGAGTAGGAACTGGATTTAGGATGGTAGAATATAGTGTTCCTCAGTTTCGAGTCTCTGGTTCTTCGGTTTGCATCTATGGCCTAGCTGTCCGTAGCCCTCTTTATGGCTACAGCTAGCGGTCCATTCATCAAAGGTCTTACCAAACCCTAAACCCTAAAGTTGCACGGCGCGATCCTTCAAGTGCCATCAGAATCTCTTAAGGGCCTAGGTACTTAGGGAGTATATACTTGGGCCTATTCAATGTCAAGGGGTTCCCCTTCAGTAGCTTTGGGTCCCAAGTCTCTACTATACAGGTGCATGGACCCTTAGGGATCTTGAACCTTAAGCCACCCAGAACCCTATAAGAGCCCTAGTAGCACACAGAGTCTTAGGAGCCTTCGAAAATCTTCAAAACAACCCTCAATCGGCTCTGAGCCTTCTCACCTCAAAAACCCAAGATATCAGAAGAGGGACCCTTAACATCTACGGCCCCTCTACAGTGGCCCCTAAGCTCTAAACCCCAACCCATCTAAAGCTTCTGAAGCCCTTAGCCCCTGACAGGGTCAGGTTCTAGCTGGCTCCAGGGCTTACAGGGTTTACAGGTTTACAGGGTCCAAAGGCTTTGAAGCGAAGACAAAGCACGAGCCCTTCCTTGGCATATTCCGGTGATACTGGTCCTTGCACAAAACCTCGCACCGAAACCCCAGTTTAGTCTCTAAGTCTGGAAAATAGCCCGGATACCGATCCGCTCTGCGTGCCTTCGTCTCATGGGCCACCCGTCGTGGGGCGAAGCGAGGTGGCCTGGATTGAGACGCAGAGAGTTTGGTGGAGGCGTCGGGGGTTACTCGGGCTGTTGCAAGGACTGATGCTCACGAATTCGATGCTCCGAACGCGAACTTTCCAGTAATTTGCAAGCTGCAGATGTTTGAATTTTGCACAGCTCGGCTACTAGATGCCGGCGGGTGTTTGTGCGGACTACCATCTCGGAACCAATCAGGTTGTGACGGTTGCATACACCGGTAGCCAGTATGCAAGACTCTACAAGCTAGTTCTGGCACAATAAGCCTTAACGCTCAGGAGCCCTAGCCCTCGAAACAAGCCAACAGCCCAGTCTGTGTGCAGGCCAGCAAGCGCGTTGATGCCAAAGCCGACCACCTGCAACAAAGTTTGAGGGACCCTACATGGGTGTAACGTCTGTGACTTCAGGAAGTCCTTCTAGACCTTGGGGTCTGGGCGAGAACTGGATCATGGTGGCGGGCGCCCCTTTTCTCTAGCGCTCCCTTGAGGTACCAGCAAACAGGGTATGCCCCTTTGACAAGGACCCCAGAAATGGACCCAAATTTCAGCACCACCCCTAAACCCTAAACCCTAAACCCTAGATTATAAACCCTAATCCCGAAACCCTATAAACCCTAAACCCTAAACCCTAACCCTAAATCCCCATACGCACATGCACGGCAGAGATCTCCTGCCTCGATATCGACGTGCGTCTCATTGAGTTGCCGCGGGGGGCGCGCCATGATGGCACCTGCCCAGCTAAAAGCTAAGCTCAGTTCTTTGTTGCATTCCTAGCATCAAACACATAAGCAAGTGCGCTGATCTATACAACTCTGTGTATATATCCATATAAAACAGTATACATACACATATACACACAAATTCAACTTGGGATTTTGGGCCGGCTAAGGCTTGCCCAAGGTGTTGCTTTTGTTTGTGGCATGCCGAACATGCTCATCGGGTCCTGGGGTTTTAATTGCAGTTTTGGTTGTCTGACTGAGGGCTCTCTGCCATGGCACTGCAACGCCCCGAAGTGTAGTTGGCCACCCGAAGGCAGTTGAACCGCACCACCAGCGCCTTGTGCTGAGCTCTGGCACATCCTAAACTGACCCATCTGGTGGAACAAGCAACTAAGAAGTCCCTTCTTCGGGTGTAGATGTCAGCAGGTCCAGGGCTGGGCCAGGCTACATCTAGGCTTGCTGGCTTTTGGGGCAGCCCGCAGTTGCCCCAAGCTTTCCACAGCTCTGGCACCCTGGCTGGTGACCACTGTGTGCCTGCGAAAAAACTTCAGGCGAGGCACCAGCCGAAGCAGGTTCTCGTCGATGGTGAGGTTCGGCCCTTGCATGCCCAAAACGCGCCCTACCTAGATGACCTATAGAGCTTCATCATGCGCATGCAGGCTGACGAAATGAAGCGCATTCATCCACATAAAAAGTTTGTAGGATTTCAGTGCAATCTGCTGCCAGAGGCCGCATTAGACGACCACTCTAAACAGAGGCAGTAATGGTATACCTCTCTACTTGAGGTGCTCAAATGCCGCCGCGCCGCCCCAACGCCACCCAAAGGTGTCGAAAGCCCCGAAGGGGCCGGTGCGTGGGGGCAGCCGCACCACCGGCCTCCGCTTGAAGTCTTCTTAACTAACCTCTTGAAAGCCCCCTACAATAAGCCTGGTGCTTGCTGTAAGGGAGGAGTATGATTCCAACAGGGGCCTTTTAGTCCTTCTTGCTTTAAGGGTGTAAGGGGGGTCCCTAAGGGGAGGCAATGATGAAGAACTCCCGGACCTCATGGAAGGCTGCAGGCTCCTGGTCTAGAGTCGATTAGGCCAGGGATGGGTTAGGCTCTAGGGCATCCTACGGAAAGCCAGGCAAACCCTTCGAAGAATCTCTCGAAAATTCCCTTCCACGCAACCGTCTTCCGCGCCGAGGCGCTTCAGTGACGCGGGCAGTGGCCTGGTGGGGTCCAAAGGGGGACATTCTCGGATTTTCGGAGGCTTCTGCAAACCCTGCAAGCGTTCTGGAGCTCGCAGGTTAGGGAGGAACATCTGGGCCCTTCAGCTTTCGATTCTTCATTACATCTCTGCATACTATGCTTGCTATGGATTGTTCTACGACACAACGGAAGAGCTCCCGAACATCAGCCCAACATCAACCCCAGCATATGCAGAACTCCCAAAGACTCCCAAGAAATGGGATTAAGTTTCGACAGGGACCCTGAGGCCATTGAAGAACAAAGATCCCTAAAACACACTAAGGGAAAAACACAACACGTCCAGAGGACCTATTTTATACATACACATACATATACATATATATGTATATACATATATAGTGTTTTTTATTGAATTAAATTATCTTATACTAAACTAAATTATATCATGTATATTATATATATATATATATATAGCTAAGGATTGTAGCTTGTTGCTGCGATGGCGGCCCGGCCTCGTCGCCAGGCGCAGTGGGCAAGGGAGGCCCGACATGCCAGCGAGGCAGCAGCCCAGGCACCATCAGAGGTGCGGGCGATCGCTGTCAATAACCCATATTGATTACATTATATACAATTATACTATATTATATTATATTGTCTTATAATAGTTTATATTGTGTTATATTATATTATATCAAACTATATTATATTAACCCATATTGAATTATAGAGTCAGTAGCTAGAAGTCTATATTCCAAAAAACGTAGGCTATAACCAATTCCTGAACGGCAGCGTTCGAGAATGGAGCTGTGGAGGAAAGGATTCCCAAGGGAGGGGGGGGGGGGGTAAGGGTCAGACACTCTAGAGCTGAGAAATCCTCAGAGAACCCGAAATTTCTGAGTCAGAAGCACCCTTAAGCCCCGAGATGCACCTTCAGGGCTTTCGCACTTAGAGGCTTCTATGGGGCATCGACATGGCCGGTTGGGGGCAGCGAAGCTGCAGCTTCCAGGCGCCGCGCTTGTGTACTTTTTTTTTTTTTTTAGGGGGGGGGGGGGGGCGGCGGGGGGTTGACGAAAATAAGGGGGACCCCTAACTAATGAAATACAGACCCCAAATCGCAGGGTTCTAATGCCAGTAGGATTCCGTTTAATAGGGGCCCCAATAAGGTACCCCTAATTTCGGACACCCCCATATACCTTCTAAGGACAGGGAACCTGCCTTCACTACTGCGTGAAACCATGAGTCATGACATAATCATCTTCACTCGAAGAGGCGCCATTTTGCCCTCTGCTCTGCTTGCGCTTCCGCTTTCCCGCTTGAGTCTGGGGTTTGGGGGTTGTAGTGGTTTAGGGCTTCTGGGAGTTTACAAAGGGTGTACACAGGTTCGTTGAAAAGCGCGAAGGTTTGGGGCTTACAGGGCTTAGTAGGGGTCCCTAAACCAGCCGAAACCCGCGTGGGGATGACAGGCTCAGGTAGTCCCGGAGGGTTCGCCGAAGACCGCCGTCAGCAGCTCCTTGAGGGCCACAAGGCCGGAGGAACCGCCGAAACCCGAAACCCTAAACCCTATAAACCCGAAACCGAAACCCTATAAACCCTAAACCTATACACCCTAAACATCCCTAAACCCTATAAACCCTACACCCTGTACACCCTAAACCCTGATGCTGGAAACATAACCCCTGAACCCCGATTCCCAAACCCGAATTGCCTTCATGCTGTCTTTACCCACGCCTGCCCGGTCATCGCCGGTTTGGCCAAGTTGGTCCCTAAACCCTAGAAGCCCTCAACCCTGAGCCCACAACCTGCCGTCGCCTTCTCTGGAAAGGGGCTCTGGGTTACCATTATCTCCCAGGCCAAGACCCATCTTTCCCTGAAGGATCCTCCGAGGGCTCCGTGCCGTTGATGTAGCAGATGACCTGAGAGTTGTTGAACAGTCCTAAGGCTGTGCTTTGACTCCATAGACTCTGTAGACTCGATCTGGTCCCAGATTCAGAGCTTCGAATTGTGTTAAGTGAAGCGGAGCTACAAGCTTGGCGATATCCATGGTCAGGCCCACAATCGGGTTCCTGGGGAGCGATGGCATGGAACAACACACAAAGTCCCCAGCAAATCAAGACACCCAACCCTGTTGCTCGCGAAAGAAGCCAACGACACCGCCCAACAACAGCAAAATTTGTCCAACTCAACGTCCGACTTGTTGCAAGACTGAACGATGCTCGACTGCTCGGGACTCTGCTTCCATCGGAACCGGTAGAAATCGACGCGCTCCAATGTTGGTTTGAGTTGCCTACTCGCTTCAGTGATCAGATATTGAATACGCCAGCCTCAGACAACCGAAGCTCAGCACCAACAGCCCTATGCGAGTTGCGTCTTGACGAACTCGCGGTCTGGATCCAGGAAGACCTGAAGAAAATATGATCCCAGGAAGCAGCACGGATGTTCAGACGCATGTGATCGCTGGGACCCCCGTGTGAAACTGAGGCTCCCAATTTCGAAGCAACCCTGCTTGAAGTGGTAGCAGGCAAGCCCCAACAGCGATACCTAAGCACCCGTACGAACGGAACCCGAGCCCAACAACTACAAGGTCCCATGCAAGGACCTCAGGCTCCTTGATTCTTACCGATACTGCTGCCTCGCCGTCCCGAGTGCCGGATCGGATCGCCTCCTGCGCAGGACGGCTTTAGGGCGTGCCCGAAAGACTTTGGTCTCTCGGAGAATTGAATCTGGAGCAGCCCAAGCATCAAGCCGTGGTGTGCCATTAGCTTCAGGTTTAGGGGGTGAAGGGGCCATCCTCCCTGTACAGTAGCAGGAACTCCTGCAGTACAAATCACTCCCTGGCTCCTTGTCAGGCATACTCAGGTCCACGTCATCGATGGCACAGAAGCTTGTGACCTTCCGGAGCATCTGCGCTGAGGGCCCTTCATTGGTGTCTAGCGCTCAAACCCTAGCAGTCCACACAGAAGGCATCCTTATGCCAAGGCTTGCGGGTGTGAAGCTGCCCCATTTAACCCAAAGCTTCTGTACGCCCCAAATTCTTGCGACAATAAGGATCCGCAGCCTTGGGATGCTGCCGCAGCCATTTCCGTATCTCCTGCACCAATCCCGTTTGCTGCCTCTCTTACGGGAGTTGCTAAACACTAATAGTATAGTGGCCTGAATGCAAAATCCCTCCCGCTTGTACCCCTCTAATTTTAATCCTCCCTGATATCCAAGGCAACCCCAAAAAGGGATCCTTAATTTTGAGGAACGCCCCTCATCCCTGCAATTCGCCGTCTGTTGATCCCAGCGTTTGCTTTCAGAATAGACCCCAATCTTTCCTTCAGAGCCCCTGTTGCTTCGGAAACTGTTGGGAGCGCTGAGGCCTGGAGCCCCCCGAAAAGAGAAAGGAGTCCAGGGCTCCGCAACCCAAGGATTCGAAGACTTTTGGGAGGCTTTTGCGTCATGGCTTAGGGGGGGCTTGGGGGGGGGGGATTTGCTGGCAGAGGCCCGGAGGTTTGGGGCTTCTCCTTGCAGCGCTTTTCGCGGAAGGAGGTGTGAAGCGCCTTGATGACGCCCGGCGTGGCCTCGCGCTGCACCCGACCCCGTCACTTTGTGTTGTTTCTCATTTTTGGGGGGCCCGAATGGACCATGAAAGAAGCTCCCAATAATATGCGATGCTCTGCACGAGATTTCTCTCATGAGGGTCCCTTCTCATGGATGTGGGCTGAGCACTTCCTTTCTTGAAATCTGAGGCCTAGACCGCAGAACCCTGTAAACTCCATTCAAATCTTATCACCCTCCCTTCCCTCCCCCTCGATCAAGCCTGGTCCAGGTCGGGCGTCTGGCCATAGAGAGGGGGAACATCATGCTCTTCAAACGCATGTTGGATGCCCTCCTGTTTCCGCGTTGTTCGGGTTCCGGAGTTCAGTGCCGGGGATCCCCAGATGCGGCCGCTGAACTGACACGCACATGTCCCAGCGATTTGTTGCTTTCGACTCAGCCGACCTGGCGTCAAGCCTGTCTAACCCCCAAACAGCTCTTTACGCTGCTACGCAAAGTCTGCACCATGGAGCCACACCGCTGGCTTCGCTTCGGGTCCTTTAGCTCGTCCGACTTGCGCCAGTCGGAGGACAGGACGATACGAGCCTCCGTCTTCTGGACGACAAACCTGCTTTGCAAACGCTGTCACGGCAACATATGGCAACCTCACCGACACAACATCACGTCACCCTTGATCTTTCGCATCCGCCCAAAACATCGATTAGCACAACGCATTTCGACCTCTCCAACATTCCCAAGCCCTTAACCCTTCAACCAATATGTACAGATTGGCCTGAGGGCTCGCATCGCGGACGGCCAGAAGTCGACGCCCGCCTGAAGATGGAAGTCATGCGGGCCATGTGGGAGAGAGAGAGAGAGAGTGTGTGTGTGCGCGCAAGATCTCTGGATGCTCTCTTTCACCTCCAAGCGTACCACCATGTGCCCTGCACCCCCCTCAACCGAACTGAAGATCACCTCGAGTTCCGAAGCCCTCACAGCCCACATTTTTGAGCCCCGAGCCCGTGGAGGCGGGAACATGATACCTATGAAACTTTCTCTTTTTTTGGATGTCCTCTATGGTCAGCTTACAGACCTGATGGACCCTATGGTCTGACCCACTATGGACCTCCTTGGATCTTCTGACGCTCTTCTGGATCCCCAGGCACTGCCTAGGGCCTAGGGATTGCCTTGGATCGCATGGACCCCCTTATGGACCCTAAGCACGAAGGACTGTTTGCACATTGCTCTCTGCTTGACGCTTTAGGGTCAGTATGAAGGCAAACTTAAGAAACCTTTTACAGATATGAAGCTATAGGGGGAGTAAGGGCTACGTAAGGACCGTCGACTTTACGGAGGAAGACTGCTCACCATCCTTCAAGAACATTGGGATGTTCCCCTGTATACTAACAGTCCGAGGGGGTACTATAATCCCTATCAAGGACTGTTAGTATGGCAAAGTGAACATCTCATCCTATACATCCCAGCTCATAGCGTCCCGATCCAAGCCTTCGCTTCGCCACTGCCCAGCAAGGGAACCTGGATCGGGCATTTTTTTCGGCTGAACTTGCCCATGAAACCTTAAACCTTCTGAAGTACTGTAAACAGCCCCCCTGATAGCAGTTGGAGTACCCCAAATCCCCCCACCCCCCCCCCCCCCCAAAAAAAAAAAAAAAAAACGAAACGAGAATTCTGATGATGGGAAGCCTCAATTTCGGGAACCCCTCAAAAAAAAGGGTCCCTAAACCCTAAACGCAAAAACCTCCCTAATAGGCTCCAAACTTCAGGTCGAATCGTCCCTGGAAGCCAAAAGCCAGCCTTGGCGCCGCCAATGTCGATGGTCCGGGTGTTTTGGAAGGCATCCTGCCTGGCTAATCTTCTGTTTTGCTAGTTTTGTTTTACTTGTTTATCTTTTTTTTTGGGGGGGGGGGGGGGGGGAGGGAGGGGGTAGGGTTGGGGTTTGGGGCTTAGGGCTCAGGGGGTTGAGGGGTTCTGTGGTCGGCTCAGCTTTGGGCCCCCACACTTGGTGCATGTCTT